AAGTAGGTCCGTCACATCACTATTGATCAGCTCTTGTTGGTGCAAATAAGGATACGAATACATATGCATCTTAGATCGTGCGTTCCACGTGTGCGGCGTACATGGCGTCAGATCCACAGATGCATAGTTTATGGCGCACATGGCGTCAGATACACAGATACATACGCACTACCGGTACCATTGCCACGCTGGAGTAACATGACCGTGTGTCGCATTACACTTCAGCCCGCAACTCTTCTCTTCATACATTGAACCCTGGTGACTCCGGAAGCACCAGGCCACCGCTGCAGCCACGAGTCCAGTTCCCACCCCCGGCGTCAACAAACTTGCAGCACCACTGTTGCCCGCCGGCGTGGTTGAGCCGGAAGGAGCCGCCTCACCAGATGTGGCATTGGCGTCTACATTCTAGACTGCGACGCCACTAACGCCCGTCGAGTTTTAGCACTAATCGTTAAAGAGCAGCTGGGCGGTTAAATTAAACATAATGTCCGCGCACTATTTAGTGTTAGCTATTGTTAGCTAGACTTCCCTATACGCGGCCCCACCAAATACATACAAGACCCCCTGTATTGTATCACTCCTAAAAGTCTAAGGAACACACTTGCGTTACAAAGCGCACTCCTACTATACCCTAGTTAAATAACCTGCACACTTGCTATCAAACCCTTAATTCTCTTATTATTAGCCCTGCTGTATCCTACTACTTTAAACCCCGTATCTAAATTTGTACGTGTAGTCTCCTTTAGGTAGAAGACACCTACGCTAGTTTAGTTAAATATTTTTATAAGTAAGATATTAAAGTTTATTATATTTAGAGCTAAGGGCAAGGTTTATAGAGGTTAGGGTATAAGTATAGGAACTATGAATAATAAGAGAGCCGCTAGTAGTAGGCTAGAGGGTGCGGTTAGAAGGGTTAAAACTTAACTGTTTTATTAACGTTTGCGCCTGTTTAGTGTTAATATGCTATATAGAATTAGATAGGAAGAGTAGGTAGGCAGAGGAATAGAACTAACATAGGTAGATCTATTAATTTGCGGGTTCTTTAAAAGAAGAGCCGCGCTAGGTAGGCTGTAAGAGGCGGAAGTGTGCATCTACACCTAGCGCGAGGGTGAAGATGCTGAGGATGGATATTAGGAGCATTGTTGAAACGTCTCTTGGCAGGTCCTTAGTATCGTATACTTGGAGATGGTTTTATAGTCTATGCACCTAGATTTAAAGAATAAGATACTCTGTGTTTTAGGACTGTGATCAAGCACTTAAACCCTTACCCGTAACACACCCATCCCTAAACGCACCCTCCCCTTTATAACACCCATCCCACCATCTAACTTTAGCCATCCAAAAATCTTTTTACCCCGCCCACAGACGCATGCTATGCCTTCATCTAGTATTCTACTAATATAACGCGAATGTGGTGTTTGCGCTACACACTAACCTGCACCTTCTCTAAAACCACAGCATTGCTTAAGCGAAAACACCGTACCTCTCCTATGTAGCCAATAACAGTCGTTCCACCCTGCGGAGGTTAACACCCACACGCCAATAAAGACGGCGGATAATCTAGTGGGCGCAAGTGTGGCGCGAGCTATCTAAAATGTGTAGATAATGAAATATACTTAACAAGCAAGGTATTTGCTTGGCGGGGCTTAAATTGCACTGTGCAAGCGACAACGGGGGTTGCCAAGCATTGCTTCGAGTGGGTTAACTTCTTGGGAGAAATTAAGTGTGTGGTTACCAGTGTGGTATAGTGATTGTATCATTGCCGCGATTAAGTGGTGCTCTGATAGAAACTGGTCTGACGAGCGGGAGAGTGATAGTAAGTAACTAGGTGTGAGGTCGTCAGATCAAAGATGTGCCTAGGCGCGAGGTTGTTGGCGCAAGCTAACCCTCGAAAACAAGACAATTGCATCAGGCCGGCCAGAAAGAGTGTTCAAGATATTTAGTAAATCTATAACTATACAGATTTCTAATATCACAGACACGCATGAACAATCAGGTTAAACGCCCTAAACTAATGCAGCCCAAAACCAAAACGCCTAGGAAAATGCCATTATTGCTATGCCATGAGATTAAAACAGACTACTCTTTTTCTTCTTTAACTTCTCTGCGTTCGATTCACTATGCGATCGCAGTCCGTAGAAACTCTTCTTAGGCTTGCTTGGTTTCGATAAGCCGTTGCCAAAGAAACTACTCTGACTAGCAGCGGGCCGATGACCGTTCGACAATAGATAGGGAGCTTGGACGAATGGAACTTGGAACTGGACCCTTGGCGGCGGCAAATGATATTCGTCCGGGTCACTATAAGCTAAATGTCTGGGTCACAAGCCTTAATATACCTAAGTTAGTGAATATCCTGCACCTAGTATATAAGTACTATCAGGCATACTACTAGATAGCCTATAACTAGTATTAATACTATTAGTATGTTATATTTTACTATAGTAAAGAAAAGGTTAAGTATATTAATATAGTGAAAAAAAGGAGTTACTACTTATAATGGCCTATTATATTCCTAGTATAATAAATAGTAGAAGATAGCTATAATACTATAAGGCTAAAGAAAAGCCCTATAATAGACTAAGTATAATAAAAAAGACTATTACTTATACCTATAGGCTATATATAGGTAGTATATAATACAAATAAACTATTACTTATACCTATAGGCTATATATAAATAAGTATTACTAAAAAAACTATTTAAAAGAAAAGGGTAGTATAGAGAAACTGTAACAACTTAGGTAGGTAGGGCATCCAAAAGGTATCCTATACGACTCAAAGGCATATAGGAGTGCGCGTCTGTATAGAAAAGGATAAGATTCCTACACCTATAGGTCTTGTACAAAAGGATAAGAAGAATATACCTATCCTAACTATAGGCGAGCTATTCTCTATATATATAAGTAAGTTAGGCCTTTATTAGGCCTAACTTAGTATAGAATAATAGGTAGGCAATTCTACCCTATTATTATACTACCCCCTCCTATAGAGAAAGGATAGTCCCTATCCTTAGGATTAGGTTTAGATCCCTTATTAAAGAAGAGCTTTTTGCAAATTAAATCCACCTTTACCTCTACCTTTACCTTTACTTCTTCTTCCTAGGGTATAGACCCCTATCCCTAGCCTATATATAACTAGCCCTCTACCTACTAACTTTCTTATTCCTATATCCCCTATTTTTTAATTATTTAACCTAATCTATCTAAAATCTAGTAAGTATTTAATCTATATAATTAAATAGTTACTAATCTAAATTAGAACCTTTAGCTATACTAGTACTAGTACTACTAGGAGTCCTCCCTATTGCTTATCACGCTCTCTATATAAGAGTAGTTAGGGCTCTAGCTAGGGGCAGGTTTAATAATTTTAATTTTAAGTTAAAGAATTCTAAGAAGTGCTAGTACTATATCTCCTAGAATAAGTATTATAATCTAGTAAGTATCTAAGTCTAATAGGGTTCCTTTACTAATTCTAGTAGATTCCTTCTTTTATTAGCCTAGAGTACTCTACCCTTAGAGGTGCTCTAGATAAGTACTACAGCCTAGTAGCAAACCCTGCTAAAGGGGATAAGGATAAGGATACTATAGTTACTTATTAGAAGGATGTTAAATAGTTTAAGGCTACTATTTAAGAAGCTACCTAAAACCTTACTAAGTGCGTTACTATTACTAATACTTAGACTAAGAGTATAGGAGCTACTAAGATCCTTATAGCTACCTATTATACTACTATATCTAATTTATATTAGCTTTAGAATAGTATCTATAAGATAGTCTTAGTAGTTAGGGGCTTAATAAAGGCTATTAATAAACTTAAGGAGGAATTAGCACTAAATTAGGAGGTAACCTTCCTAGTGTAGGCTAAGATAAAGGCGTTCTATAAGAAGGAGTCTAAATTAGTCCTAGCTCCTACCCCTACTCCTACACCTGCTCTAAACCCTGCTATACTAGTTATCTAGAAGCTAGCAAAGAAGCCTAGTCTAGGTACTATCTTAGCTAATACAGAGTCTAAACTAGGTTCTAATAGAGAGATAGATATAGATTAAAGAGGTTTCCTAGGGGTAGTATCCTAGGAACCTTAAGGGTTCTAGGTTAGTTCTAAATAGGATATAATAATAAATAGTAATAAGAATAATAGTAATAGATAGTAGTTAATAGCCTAATATATAGCTAAATAGGATATAAATTAGTTCTAATATTAGATATAATTATTGTGAAGTAATATTAGATCCTCTTTGCCTTTTTCCTAGGCTTAAATCTATTTTAGTAAGCTATAGGGAGGGCCTAGCTAATTTAGATACTATTAGTAAAATACCTATAATTTATAAGGAGCACCTATAAAGTTAGAGGCAGGATACTAAACAGGATTAGAATTATATCTAACCTACTTAACCTTATATTTTAGCTTAGATTAATATAATTTGCTAGCTAGGATTTCTTCTACCTCCTATTCCTCTACACCTTATATAGGGGTACTAGGGGGTTTTAGAGCCTCTTATCTAGGTAATAGGTTTTAGGGATCTTTATACAGTATATTAGGGGAGAAAATGTTATAAATCTTAGAACCTAGTAGCAATTAGAGTTAATACGCGTTTCCTACTTATTCTAATACCTTAAAGGGACCTTCCTATTATTTAGATAGTTTTTAGCTAGGTTATAAAATAGCAAGATTAGTAGTAGATAGATAAATATAGTTACTAACCTTCTAGTTAACTAGATAGCAATAGTAATTAGTAGTAGAGCGTATTTAGTCTTAAGCTCTTTCTATATTCTCTTTAGCAATCTTCTATGCGTTGTGTATCTAAGTAGCAAGGGATAAGGCGTCCTTGTGGTTTAGTTTCTCTAGTATAGTAGATAGGGTTTTTTCTAGTTTCTAATACTAGCTTTACTTTAGTAAGGAACTAAAGAGGAGCTAATATAGAGCTATACTAATAGATAAATATAGAAGAGTACTTTAGGCACGGTCTATTATAGGTAGTAGCTTGCTCTAGTTATCCTAGTAATAGGATACAAAAGGCCTTAGTCTCTAATTAATGTACTTGTTTATAATCTCAGTTTGTCTATTAGTCTACTTGTGGTAGGCAGTAGAGAGCTTGACTTTAGTGCCTCTAACCTCTCCTTTTTAGATAGGGTTAACATGTATTTATCTTTAAGGGAGGTGTTACTTTAAGATTTCCTAGTGAACCGTTAGGGAGAGTAACCTATTCAAACGAGGAGAAGTGGGAGGGGCAAGGTTTAATAGTAGTGGTGCTATGGTAGAGGATATGGTTTAATGCGGGAATATAAGTGAAAAGATAATATTGTAAGGTTAAAGTAAAGTCCCTAAGAGTTACTATTCTCCTATCCTCTAATCCTTCATGCCTTTATACTATTTAATCTACCTAACCTTTTAGGCTAAGCCTTGTTTTTC